TATATTTTGAAAAATACTGGTTCAATTATGTTCATATTTTCAGGAAATAAAGAAGAGACTGTGTGTGTATAGCTCCTGCCAATGGTTAGTTGTAAAACATGATGCCTTGGACACTAGTCCAACAACATTAGACCTAGCCTGGGCCTCGTTTCTTATCTGACATGTCTTATGGCCCCGGCTAGGTCTAACCTCCATGATCATTTTGCCCTTGTTGCGCGTTCCGCAGGTTTCGACCAGCGGAACTAATTAACACTGAAAACATGGTAATATTACATAAAGAATGTGATTCAAGCATGCATACATACCTTATGAATACATACACACCATCCCGTATCCCCCTTAGACCCTATTGATGCATAATTACGAAAATATTGGAGACAGGTTTGGAATTTTACGAAAATGTCGGTCAGTTCCGGTAACATCGAAATTGCAAATCGTTTCAGGAATTGACCGTCATTGCGACACTGCATCAACGAACAGTAGGTTTGCAATTAATAACTAATTTGCGTGTATACAAGCGCTACATAAATCAATCAAAGATACCTGTTATCCTCAAAATTGATCTTTATATCCCGAGTAATCGCGTGATAATTATCAATCTATTTGACAACAATTTCGTTTCAATAGTTTAAATTTTAACCCGGGACGAACAGACACAATGACGGACATGCGGAATGTCATTTTAGAGATTGGTAAGTTTAACCTCATTTTACTTGTATAAATGACCATTTAATACAATAATATTGTGTTGAATCGCTTGATGTTATGTGTTTTTATATTGTTGTCAATTAATAAGTAATTTCATGCGCGTTTAATTAATAACTGATAGTGAGAATTTGCAACAAATGAAAGCATACCACGGAAGTTAAACCCAATCACGGCAACAAGAACATTCAGATTAATAAATGAAAGCCGTGGTATTGGGTTTAACTTGTTGAACTACTTGGACACCTGCTCAAAAAACAGTTGTACTAGCAAAATGCGAAAAACGCAGTCAGGGGTGACTGCAACCGCAAAAAAATTAAATAACTTCCTAACCATAGTGTTTTGGCTCTTCAAATTTGGCACAAACCATCTTCATTCACTGTTTGATAAATCTGTAGAGTGAAATCAAAATCACTTCGGGGACTTCACTGTCATGGTTGAAATGCTTTGAAATCGCAGTCAAACGCCTTGGTTCAGGGAGACTTAAGAAGGCATTTTGACCATGACTATAAAGTCCCTGGAGTGATTTTGATGAAACTTCACAAATCTACCACTCATTGAATAAGGATAATTTGTGCCAAATCTGAAGTGCCAAAACACCATGGTTAGAAAGTTATTTGGTTTTATTGCTGTGGCAGTCACCTCTGGCTGCGTTTTCATATTTTCCTAGTACAACTGTCATTTGAGCAGGTGTCCAAGGCATCATGTTTTACAACTTCCTGACAACAGGAGCTATACATACACAGTCTCTTCTTTCTTTTCCTGAAAAATAAACATACCGGATTTTCTCGCATATACGCCCCCCTAAATTTAGGCCCATGGGCCAAAAATCGAATGTAGTACGCTTATACGCCCATGGGCCTATAAAAAATGACTATTTATTGATTTTTTCAATAAATTCAAGAGTATTTTGTCACTGGCAGATCGTTCTGTCCTTACTTTGTTTCAACATTAAGTTCAACGCTGTGCCGTAAGTGGCAGTGGTGGATCGTTCTGTTGTTACTTTGTTTCAACATTAAGTCCAAGGTTGTAGGTGACATTTCCTTTATAATTCTTACAAAACATGCGGTAGGACTACAACAGTAGGTACGGTAGTTCATCAGCTCTTCTCACCTTTACGCCCACTGGGCCAAAAATCGAAAGTAGTACAATTATACGGCCATGGGCGACAAATAAGAGGTAAAATAACAGACAAAATTACCCCTTCTTTCAGTTATACGCCCAGGGCGTATATGCGAGAAAATCCGGTGATTGAATTAGTATTTTCCAAGATATAGTTATTTTCCATTCACGTTTTTCGTATTTTGCTAGTACAACTGTCTTTTGAGCAAGTGCCCAAGACATCATGTTATACAACTAACTAACAACAGGGGCTATACATACACAGTCTCTTCTTTCTTTCCTGAAAATATGAACATAATTGGATTAGTATTTTCCAAGATATCGCGATTTCTTTGGGTTGTGTTTTTTTTAACACCCTGTATAATTACATTTGTTTCACTGTCATACGTTGCATATCATCGAAATCACCGGTGAAAGTTCAAAATGAAAGACCCGATTATACCACGAGTACGATTCAATAGGACCCGATGCTACTGCCTGAGTATTCCGATTATACCGTGAGTAAAACCCGATGAGGTAGTGAGTAAGCTTTCGAATGATCATATAATAACATGAAATATATCACAAATATTCCTGTTAATATGATATAATTCCCGCAGCACTATACGTCAACGACTGTGTCCCGCGAAGTTCTTTAAAACATTGAATTCATGCTTTCACTCGAATCACCATAATTGTCATTTTTGATTATATCACCACTTCTATCTGACTATGCTCATAATCCAATGAGTTTGGTACGTGTTATTTTGTATCTACCAAGACGGTAAACATATGAAAAATAGTTATATATTTTGATTGGTCTAAAATGTGCAAACTTAACCCGTTATGCTCATTCGATCTCAATATTGAATAAAATAAGATATCAGTAGAAAGGCTACTAAAATGAAAAAAGATTAACCAGTAGAGATTAGGAACGTGACACATATTCATTTTTATCCATAAATATGGATAATAATTGATTTAAATGCAATTTATTCGCTCTCAAGTTTGATTAAAATATTATTACATTGGCTCCTAAAATGAAGAAAGATCATATTCATAATTGATTTAAACGCAATTCCACGCTTTTCCTATCCTCCAATGTTGATAGCCTAATTTCTGTGTCAGTCTGGGTCAAAATGTTACAATAGTATTAATAACGAGTAACCCTTCTAATAAAGGCAATTAAATCAAGGTTCGAAAACTCCCAAAAGTAACACTAACACTATTTCATCATCAGCATGTCATAGACTCGACGATATAATCGGATCTCAAAAGATTTTACTGAAGTAATGTTCGGATTCTAAGATCATTTACTCAAGATATTTTCGGATCTTTATAATATTACTCGTCGATCACATCGGGTCCGATGTCCGATAACATCGGATCTTTTAGGACAAAGTTTATGTGAAGATTTTGCTGTACAAAAGTGCTATTTTGACCTAATATTTTGACACTTAATGTATTATACATATGACATACATTTACCGGCCCAAGTATGTCTTATGTATGGCTCATTATCAATTAAAGCGAGTATGAATGAGAAAAACAAATCGAAAACCATTATACGTTTAACTTATCTCTTAATTTGGACATAACAAATATATTTCAACTATAGTTCTAGGCCAATTCCGCCTGCTAGAACATCTTAGTAACGATTCTAACCATCCAAGAGAACTGATAAAGGTCCAATATTACCTTTATTGCCCATTTTCCTATGAGTTGAGTTAACCAAACATTTGATAGGCGGTATATGCGTGTCTTGCTCGGTGGTAGGTTGTATATACACGGGTACACTTTCCCCTCGTGGCATTGGAATTTGGAGGTGTTCACATTTCCAGGTTTTTACACTTATGCGGTTGAAGCCTTTAGGGAATGTGAACACATTAAATATGTATAGCTCAATTGACCAGACAACTTTGTGCGATACCAATAATTTGATTACATTATTATCTGATTTAGATGAATTTATTAAGTCATATAAAAAATAAACATTATAACATATATTTCATTAATTTTTTTCAAATCTCTGGACATAACAGTTTACTTGATATCAGAATGCACGATATAGTTTTTTCAATGGTTCTTTAATATGGGAGGATCTTTGTTATGGGAGGAAAATGCGGAAAACTGTTTAGATTTGGAGGCATTTGGCCTAGCCAGTTGGCTTTGTATAAAAACCTCCTACCTCATACCCACCTACCCACGTACGTGGGGCATGATACAGTCTTTGAAGGGTTCAATTGTAAAGATCTTAGTTTATTGAATCTTAGTTCATGATGAATTATAGATGCATTTGTAAGGACCCTTGATAGCAAGTTGCTACTACATCCAAGCTGGGTTCGATTCCCACTCGGGGCATCGAATTTTGCACACTTTCTTTCAATTTCTTTATCTGGCTTGTTAGACATATGCTCGCAGTCGTTGGTTATGTATTCCCATGGGGCACCCTCGGGTCATTACATATTAAAATACATCCATATGCCTTTATTTATGAATCTGTCATCTGTCTAGTTATAAAATAAAGCCGGGATTATAGAAATGTTAATAATTTGAGCTATTTTGAGATTTAATAATCTTTAAAATCGAACCCTTCAATGACTGTATCATGTTCCACGCAGGTGGGTAGGTGGGTATGAGGTATGAGGTTTTTTATACAAAGTCTAGCCAGTTGTTCGGATATACAAGTTTTACTGTTTTACTATATTGGAATAATTGCATGTCGTCCCACTTATCATTTCGACTTTGCCTCTACTCGGAATAGTTTAGTTAAATTACTTTCTACTGTTATATATGGTGTACAAAAATAAGCATGCTGAATTCCAATTGCATATACACTAACACCCAGTCATTGAAAGTTTAGTGGTGGAGCTGCCAAAACGATTTTGTTCTGATCATTCAATTTACTCCTTGGATTGTGTTTTGAATTACATAATTGAATGAACAATAACATCCTGCTTTGCATATTGATAGTCCAGGTTACCGTACCTCTTTTAGAATGAAAAAATGCAAATTCCATATTTTCTCATCTGCCATGTATCTGTTAGTTTAGGCAGCCAGTGTTCCGTGTTTGAGGCTCATCAACGGTATGTGCGGGATAAGATACTGGCACAATCTCAATAATACGATAACAATACGATAGCCCTTAAAAATATACTTGTTTGGCATATTTTTATGTCTAATTTCGATAGTCAGATAGCTCTTGCTTCAAAGGGATATGCCCTCTAAAATTCCTATATATTCCTGGTTAGACAATAACATTTTCTCGGCACAGCACATATAATACATGCAAATACTGTAGTTTGAAGGGTTGAGTTTCGTTATTAGTACATGGTACGTGACGAATTTAACTATTGAACAGTACTTATAACAGAACAGGTTTTATTAACGTTATTGGATTGTAAATGGGATTATAAAGGCAATATGCTCATTTGATTCGTGAGAATATTGATATAAAGCAGATCAGCAGATACAAAACGATTTTCATCTACAATTACACTGGGAAAAAAGGTATGGCATGGCTTCTTTTAGAGGTAAAAAGGTAGCGACAAAATACAACACTGTGCTGTATTATTGAAGTATTTGTAATTAATGTGAACACCGACAACTTATGCTGTCATTGTTTCTCAGCCTGGAGGTCTATGTGTCACTTAAGAATGTTCTAGCAACCCATCACTGGGTAGGATAAGGTGATAGCCTCGACCGATGAATCGTTTAATTTCACTAAAAATGCAAATCAGCTATGATAGTTCAAAACTAATTACGATAATCAAAACATGCACATAAATAAGTTATAGCTGCAAGTCAATGTAGATGCGTAAATGTCTTTAAAAAGGGGTCGCCTCATTGGTCCGAATCTCAACTGAATCCCGCCTTGTAACCCTTAATTTAATAAATATCAATATAAAGATATAATATATGTGAGAACGTGGAATAAAAGTTAAACATATAGCAATGCTTTACGGATTTTGATATGGGACGCTTCAAAAGTGAAATATGTGAAACGTCTCCACTGCGATTATTACATTTAATTTGAATGTTAAAATTAGATGCGTTATTATCCAACGTACAAAAGTCTTATTTTTGTGTTAATCTTATCCCCATACATCTTGCTTCATCAAGTTCGGACCTATTATAGAACGTAGTGATAGAGCGTGGGAACCGACGATGATCCCCACACGGAGTATCTGCACATATAGACAGAAACGTCATTCGCATAGATTTTGACAACGGAATTGAATGCAGGTTTTAGAAACGTAGAGTTAAAACGTTACGCAAAGTCTTATATTTTTTTCGTGGTCATCATTTACCTGTGGTCCCTCGAAAATATATTTGGACCATTGGGATTCGGACCAATGGTGTGTCCTAAAGTAAGGCCTAAAAAGGCATTTTTGACTTCCAGTCGTCTAATACACCGGTCTGATGAGGCTGGAATATTGTAGTTAAGATGTGCACATGCATTTCTATTGCACACATATATTTATGTGTTGTTGAGAAAGAAACCCAAACAGGGAATGGTAACCAAGATTCAAAAACTTGATTGACGTTTGTTGTGTCAATGTTTGTCTTTGCCCCATTAAATGCCATTCTACTCCATAGAGCTAATATTTATAAAATTCGTTCATCATGTTTTTTTATTTACTAGGACATATAAATGATTCTTTGTTAAACTCTTTAGGGAGTCCAATATTTATTACTTTTTCTCCCAATTGAATTTCCCCGTGTGTTCTAATATGTGTACAAGTAGTCCAATATGTAATAATTCCATACACGAATTAAGGAACTCTCGTGGATGTACAAGAACTTACAGGTAGTTTTTACACTTTTTTTTATTTTAGCATGGCTTCTTAGCTAATGTATATTTTGAACAAGTAATCATCATTTTGTTATTTGTTTAACTAGTGTTGACTGTAGACTATGTGTACATGGCATTAGCACTTATAAAATGTTGACATACTGTATATTGTTCAGAGCATGAACGACATTAAAAGACAAAATATGCGTAAGCCACTGTGTCAACACTACGATAAAAAAAGCAAAAATGAAATTTAATGGAAAATATTGTTTGATTTCTCTTGATTTAAGTACACCTACTCAATTTGTTGTTAAAGTATTCAGCGTGTGGGTCTCTAATTTACAGCGACAAGTACACACGGCAATGTAGATAGAAACGTTAAAAATGTGTCTGGTGTCATTGTCAACGCATGTAAATTATCTTTCACACGAGAGCTCGCATGATTTGTGTCATTCCGCGTCGTGGGTCAAATGGAGTAAATGCAGACACCCATCATAAACACCAGCACTGATCAATAGAGAGAAATGAATATTAAAAACATATGTGTATTGAAAATGCTGCGGACTGTCAACACGTCAGCTTGTGGCATTTTATCGCATTGCATATTGGAAGTAATGACTTAAACAGTTTCTAAACATATAAAATTAAATTCTCATCCATTATATTTGACTAAAAAGCTGTAGAAAGTGAATTTTGTATTTGCATTTTCGCAATAGCTTATGTCCTGAATGTTATCAAAAGTGCTATCTTGTCGTTGATGCATATGAAATATCATCTCTACGATACTTGCGCCTATACCTTTACAGAAAGAGTGACGTTTGTTTATTACTACAAAGTCAAACATAATGAGAATCTATATTAAATTACATATTTCAACAAAATCAACTTCTCTTCTCATTTGATTAAACTTACTTAAGAAGAATGAACTGCCGTGGTTGTAATTATTTAAAGCAAACATTCAAGTTTAAAACTACATGACATTTAAATCATAGCTACGTAAAACGCAACATCATAAGTGAATAAAACAGCAAAGAGAAAGGTTTAAGTGTAATTTTGATTGCATTTCAAGAGGTAAGCTCAATACTTTTACTCCACTTTGGAAATTCAGTGCAGATAAACGACCATTTCGAACCTATAACTTTTGCTTTTGAAGTTTAAAACTACAAATTATACATAGATATGTACTTTTAATTACAGGTAACATTACGTACAGGTAAACAGGACATGTAACAAAATAAGGAAGCAAAAACGGATGAGAATAAACTTATAAAAACAGCACAAAGTCATTCTTCAGCATAATTCCACAGGGACACAAAACAAGTGACAACACGCAAACAGAGTTGAAATATAGTTTTTTAAGGATATAACCCGACACATGAATAGACGACAGTTTAATGGTCAGTATTAACACAGAAATTACTCATGAAGTGACATTTACAAAAGAAAGACCTACTCTGGAAATATATTGTAAAAAAACATTTTCGTGAAACATAAAAGATGGACATCAATTCTAATTTGGATTCAAATATGGGCCTGTCATCTCGGCGCTCTAGAAGGTCAGACTTCCTTTGCGAAAGTAAAGTCGCAAGTCGTATAAAAAACTTTGAAACAAAAAGCGTTAAGTCCAAGGGAAATAAGGTTAATGAAAGAAAAATTGACAACAACAATGTTCGTCATTTGAGAGAATCATGGCTCCGCTCTGAAAGCAAGGACAAAAATGGGGTGAGAAAATCTATTAAATCTATTGATGATAAGTCTCGTAATTGTGATGAACAATCTAACAGAAAAAATGTAAATGGCCAATTTTACAGAGGTAAGATAAACCTCAAGGCCAGTTGCAACACCGAAGATACAAATGTCACGCAAGTCGATGGAACGTCAGTTGTACCCATATTTGACCACGATTCGTCTAAAATTGATAAACTAGATACTGAATTTATTTCGGATATATCTAATAATAACACTAAGTGCTTTCCTGAAGAAGTATCTTATCAGATATCAGACAACTATACGAAGGAGAATCCCGGTGTTGAAGAAAATGAACCAGAGACAAGGGACGAAACAATCTCAAGAAACAAATGGACAATTAACACAGTTAACGTGCATAAAGAAAGTATAGAAGTTGAAAATGATACGGATATATTCTCTGGCCGACAAGCACTGTCTCAAGAAGACTCCGACAAAACAGGATACCTTTGGACAATAAAAACAGCAATAGTTCACAGGGAAAGCATAGACATTACCGAAAACAAAGCTGACGATTTGGAAAATTTTATTATTAATGATACAGAGTCAAATGACGGTGAAGACGATGATATATGTGTAGATGATTTGCACATTAGTGAGGAAAGCTCCGATGACAACGACAATGATGATGGTGATAATGATGTTGACTTTGACCGTACATTAACTGCATCAGAATCATTCTTTAAATTCATTGCTCAAAACGTTGAGGAAGGCGGCGAAAATTCGGACAATCAAAACATTGACCACACAGAACCCAGTATAACAAAACCTTTACCCAATGCAATCCCTATAATTGAAGAAAATGTGAATATTCAAAAACACGTTCCAGAAAAACTAGTGAAAACTACAAATGACAACATCAATGCAAACACTGTGATACCCAGTCAAAACGCCGATCACATCCCAATATCTGTGATTCCAAACAGACCAAGGAGAAAATCCCCGATTACGAAGCCAGAACGGATTAAAATCCAACCACCAACCGACTCATATTTGGGTATTCCCAAAGTCAGCCGCAGACGACGGTGTGGGGTCGTTCTTCAACCTACTCTCGAACAAGTACCCGACTGGAATCAAACTATGGAAGACTTGAAAAGTCTCGCTCCAGATTGGCGAAAGAATGTCCATCATGTTAGCCCAAATAGTAACAGTACAACGGAAAACAATTCATTTGGAGTTAAATCTAAGACTCAGTTCCTGACCAAATCTGACAGTAATTCCACATTATATGATATAAGTGAAGAGGGAAATGATGATGAACATGCAAACAACCACAACGTAATGGCCCGACACTCTAGTCAAACTGATCTAGGCACTCTGAAAACAATGGCTGAAAAACTGAAATTAAAAACTAGACGCCCAAGTTATGTTCAATGGAAACAACAATACGTAGATCGCCCCTTATTAGCAAGGCTGAACAATGACTACAGGGTGGTTGTACGGGAGAATATGGAATGGACAGAACGGAAAGATGAAATAAACAAAGCACTGGCCTGGCTGAGACATGAACTGGTAAGTAAAGTAAACAACATTGGTATACAGTGCGTATAAAAAAACGCAACAGATTGTTATCTCGGAAAAGCACAAAACCATTGATAACAGCAATGATTTCATTCAATGCACCATTAAGCCATGTGTCTCCTCTTTACAATATTATATCATTTATATCATTCATTGGTCATGGTTGGGCGAGTAATCATTCCATTTGCAAAGTGGGCCAAAATTAGCTTGGGACCAAGTTATAAACATCGCAAAAGTCAGTGCATGGAACCCGATGCAATACTGGAAGAAAAAATAAAACCAATGCTGACTGCATCCTTTTCATTCAATGTACCAAAAAGCCAAATTACTCCTCTTTGCAATGGAATATCATTCATTCACAGGGAGTCATGGCTGGCCGAAGTATCATTAATTTTGCAAAGTGGGGCAAAATTCAGCTCAGACCCAAGTTCTAAACATTGCAAAAGTCAGTACATAGGGCATAGGGGCTATTGGAAGAAGGTGTGACAGGTGTGGCATAGACAGTAAAGTGTCCATACTCATACTCTTGCAAGAATACATCCTATACCCCTCCAAATTGCCACCACTTCCTTGCACATAAAGATGCGCTCATCTGTCCACGTCATGCATGGTTCAGCCCTGAGTCATCTGTCGGTTTAAGCAGAGAAAAGCAGCCCGTGGGCAATCCTCTCTCGAGGTTTTGCAAGATCTGATGGAGGAATTGTGAGCACAGATGCTCCTGAGATAACTCCAAAAGAAAAAGTCACAACAATTCAAGTCAGGGGAACTTCCATTGGCACTTAGCCCTTGCACTGATTTTTGCAGTATCTAAAACTTGGTCCAGAGCCGACTTTGACCCACTGTGCCAATGGAAGGATTTCTCACCCAACCATTACCACATGTGAATGAATGGCATATCATTGCAAAGACAAAAAAGAGAGAGGAGAGACGTGGCTTTATGGTACATTGAATGAAATTGATGTAGTCATCACTAGTTTTGTGATTTTACGAGGTAACTACTTGTTGCGTTTTTTATACGCCCTGTATATATTTTTCACGCCCTTAGTCTTTTTTCATAAAAATCGAATAACAACTGGAGTGGAGCTATTAAATGAAGAATTCTACTGCGTGCAAGTCACATTACCACTTAATTTTCTTCTGCATTTTTGCAACAAATACGAGGATTGCTCCGTAAAGATGTTTTCCCCATATATCAGGACACATGAAAATGTACTGGACGCAAGCCATCCGGTAGTAACAGGCTTACGTCCAGTACATTTTTTATTTCGTCCAGTATTTCTAAAATTTCGTCATTTTTCTTTTATCGATCACTTTTAAGCTAAAATTTGTTAGTTCATACACAAGGAAATTGCACATCTTGTCAATGGAAAGGTAAATAAAAAGAAATATAACTCGATTTGTGTATTTCCTGAAAAACTCAAAATATTTATGTGCTAAACCCCACAATTCAGAAAAACTAGATGGATAGCGGTCATTTTATAAGAATTGGATGTTCCCCAATGCCAATGTACTGGGAATCTGATGAGTCTGTTTTTAGATAAGGGGACACTGAAAAACGATCACCAGCTACCGAGTAAAATTACACCTTCCTCTCTCTGGATCAAAAATGGAGGTCCGCGTCCTGGGTCTGCGTCAGTATTTCCAGTTGTACCAGACGAAAATACTGGACGCGTTTCTATCCCCTCCCTATATAGCTACGAGATTATTAGTCTAGCCAAGGACGTCATTGGTCTAGCATTTCGTTCTACCAGCTGAAAATGTCTTTACTTTTTTCTTGTTACAACACACACATAAGGTACAAAAAGGCTGATTATGGTCCTTTAGCATTCATATTAGGTAACATGGTAGTATTGCTCCCTTGGTGTATGAACCTTAACATCCATTGCGAATACTTGGTTAATGACCTAACGAGATTTGTTTGTTGTCACTTTTAGATCCAAATGAAGCAAGAGGACCAAATTCTAGCCCGACAGCTAGTGGCACTGAGGCATGAAATTAACCGTGTAAGACTGGAAAAAAGCTGTGACGAACACCGAGAAACTATAGATGACGCCATGTACGAGTTAGAAGAACAGGCAGAGGAATACACAAGTTTGTGTGACACGCCGACAGATTTGCTCAGTCCAACACCACTGCGTCAAATAGGGGTCACACGTATGAATATCACGTCAAGAAGATTTTCTGTTTTCTAAAGTGGGACTTAATTACCCTGAGCATCCTTTACAAGACCATTCTGCTTAAAGTAAATTAAATACATGCCAAATGTGATGTGAAGAAATATGTCAATATAGATATAGAAACACCGACTCGGTAATTTGAATTAGTTTTAAATGATCAGTTCGACGGCACATTGTATAGAGTTCTACTCTATGCGTGTGATGATGATGAAGGAAGGAGTGAAATATGTTTGGTGTCCTGATTTCCACTTATAAATCTTGTGCATATGCTTATTAAGTTCATTGTTTTTCTGTATATTTTTACGCACGTATACCTATCATGGATTTCTGAGCAATCTATTTGGAATCACAGATTTATTTTCGTTGTAAGAATTAAAGAAGATGAATATCAGAATGTGATTTAAAAGATGTTACAAAATATGTTATCATTTTGATAAATTGAACGCCACTTTGCTTGAAGTGACATCGTTAGCTAGTCTATTGGTGACATTAAGGTGATGCTAAAATGAAAATTCTTATCAGTGTACAAATCATTCATCAAATATAGTTCCAGATATAACATTTAAAGTGATGTGTATTGAATACAAATCACCTGTGTTAACCAGGGGAAACACGCGTTCAATATCGCTTTTGTTATTTCGAAAACCTTTGAACCTATGAAAACCTATGAAAACTTTTTATTCAATTCCATGTAATAATATACCTTCTGGTGACAGGTGTTTGGCTGCTTTGGCGATGTCGCCCATTTAAACAAAAAACTAATCGATCAATCAATCAAACAACTTACAAACTAAGAAATAAACAAACAAGCCAACTTAACTAACTAACGAATAACCAAGGTCCATTCTGATAAGTTACTAGCACCATGTAGCATGGTTTAATCATCTTTATAAACTTCATGATAGGGCAAAAACATATTGATTTATTTCATATCATCGTATTTATTTATTTCTTTGATGTCACTCATTTCTTTCATATCAACGAAGATTCATATCTTTTTATTGTATAGAATTCTAAACTAATCTTTAGAGCATGTTTTTTTTGTAAACAAAATGTAATATAGAATAAAAGAAAAATATATAAATAAAAACAAGACTTGTTACATTGACAGAACCCATAATTCAAGGTGATGTTGTGAGAACATTGTGTAACCTAACACCTCTTTGCAATACCTCTGTTATCATCACATATTTCTATATATTAATGATAATATTCGAAAAAGAAGTGTAGGAATTCGTGATTATTGAAGTTTTCACCTGGTTAGTTTCACCAATAAAACCGTATGGTACAGAGAACAATTTTTAATGTGATATCTCTAAAATTGAAAACATGTTGATATAGTAAGAATATTTGTCGTACTTCCTCAATAAAACAGACTAGTCATTCCAATAGAGCTGTTTAATGTTTCCATAACATCTGAGTAAACAGAATAAATATGGCAATAAGGAGTATTGTGAATTTTTATATAAACCGCACGGACAATATAATGTATTTTTGAAAATAATTATATCTTATTCCGCTTCAATCCCTTTCTACAAGAAACTTAATATCAGACGGATGGTCTTTTTAATATAACATAGTAATATATAATCTATTAAGGCATCAAAGGCAACAAATACATGGAAAACATCACGTTTTATAACAATTATAAACCTCTTCTACGACCCGTCAAGTGAGCTGGTGATATAAAAGTGTAATAATATACGAGCCCATTGGGAGTTGAAGAATAGGAAACGTGATCATAACGTTTATCAATTTGATCAATTGATGTCGTTTATAATGATTTATTCTGTTACTTTCCATATCTTCCTGTCTTCAGAGGGAAGTACGATTTACCAATATTATATCATGCTTGATTTATACTGTAGGCATGCTGTTTTAAACAATAGACCAATAAAAATAAAACAAGCAGTGTCGGAATTGTTTATGAAACAAAGAATAGTACAATAACGTCATTTCGAAGGGCAATATAGTGAAATATTGGACCGAGGGCCGAAGGCGTGTATTGCCCGCAGAACATGACGGGAAGTGACGTTATTAATATTATTACCACCGTTAATGACCAGGGCTAAAATAGCAAGAACATCTTACGCACTTAACGATATCTAATTTCCAGGAGAAAATTGCAGGTCATTAATTGCATTATTGACCGCCATTATGGACCGCCACTATGACGTCATACATTGCTCAGGTCGATATAGTAAAATGGATGCCTTCTATGAAACCCCTAGAATTGGCCCGGCAAGGTGGTAATAATGCAAAGTATTTTGTGAGCGCGAATTCAAATGATCATATTTCAAATTAAATTAGACTTTCAGAGGGCAATGTCATTACGCATCATTTTTCAATGTCTATGAAATAATCGATGATTGATTTGATAAAAAAATAAAGCTGATTCATACTTTTTGTCAAAAGATGCCAGGGACAGATAAATAATAAGGGAGATACGAATCTAGTCTTTTAATCATATCAATTGAAGTTTAGTCAAAGTAATGCGTTGGTGTGAATAAATAGATTTCCGATTTAATACAACTGCTCCATAGACATCTTTTCAGATAGAGTAAAGATGGTCTGTTCCACTTTATCTAAAAACTTTCTAAAGTGATCATTCTAGCGACTTAAATATAACTTCGACTTTTAAACTAAAAATACTATCATTATGGGTTTGACTTTATTCCAGTTATTTCAAGCCAATCGGTGAAAAGAATTTATTGTGGAAAAACCAAGAGAGATGATCAGTAGTTTTTATCAGACAAAAACATGAATAGATATGCTCATTGCGTTGGTTGTTTTCCAGTAATAAACATATTATGAAGTATCAACAGCACAGTGAACAGTGGAATCGTGTTACCAATTTCTCTCAAGTCTCCCCGAAGAGAACAAATAATTCTAAAAGGTGGTCCAAAAAACGTCCATTTTTTATTTTGCTGTAACATTTTATAATGCATGGATTTCAATTATATATCTAATCAATAATAATCAATCCCAAATGACATAATTATATCTATAATGGTATTAAAATGAGTAATATTAACAGTCTAGATGTGAATCCAAACTTCAGATTATTCTTATCTTATTCAGAAACCCCCGAGGATTTATTTACTGTTTATGCCATCTTAAGAAAAAATTGTAAAAGTGATTTCTGCATCTTTATCAAAAATACATGAAGTATTTAAAAAGTTTTCGACAAATAAAAATATGGTCGTTTTTGGCCCACCCTGTACTTAAAATGGTGATTGCCCACTACATGTATATACGATCTGCTACAGAACATGCAGAAGAGTGGAACTAAACAGACGTCAATCTTTTCGACTGCTTAAACGCTTATGGGTCGTCTCAATTTTCAAACAAGACATTAACATGCAAAATTTCACTACCTGCCATTTGTAACAGACGCCAACCACAAAACACCATCTGCCGAACACCGTCCACAAAGTTGGAGACCATAGCAATATGTCAATTCTTATTTTCCAATGTTTCAATATACCATTGGCACCATTTAAAACGGCACTACTTTCCCGAATAAGAGCAATAAAATCTTCGCTCAAACGAGTGATTCCCATGCAATGAAATTTGAAGATTATTTTTAAGATGATCGTTGACCTCAAAAACCTTCTTGGTAACTGAATCATGCTTGACACTTACCTACTTTTGCGACAAGATAAGGCTCGGACACTACTACATTTTATTGAGTAAAGCTACATTCACACCAACGGCGAATGCCAAGCTTTAAATCGGCGAGCAAAGCGGCACCAAAGCATGGTGCTCTAAAGCGACTTGTAAAGCGGCACTAAAGCGTAACAAAGCTTGATTAACGCGTCGGGGTCGTAATAGGTCGTAGAAAAGCTCGGAGTAAAGCGGGATGTTCGGCAAGAGCGCCAAAAATTTTTAAACTGAACAAACCGTAACAAAGCTCAACAAAGCTTGACCCAAAGCGTAGGAAAGCTTAACAGAACTTGGTTCAAAGCGGGGACCCCAGTCTCTTCACGGTCTGTTACCACTACGCTTCGTTTAGATATCTCAAGCTTTGCTACAATCTGGCATGAAGTTCTGACACGAGGTCAGACGCTTTCATCAATATCTGACACTCTTTGTTACGCTTTCATGAAGGACTCTCAAGCTTTTTAACGAATTGAGACACTTTAATCAAGGATTGAAACGCTTTGTTACGCTTGACAAGCTTCCTCACGCTTCTCACGCTCTTTCACGCCTTGCGACAAACATCATGTCTTCTTCAGAAAGGTCATGATCTGGTCCATCTGGAATTTCTGGATCTTATTGTTCTGCCATCCTCATCTCGAGTCAAAGATGCAATGGTTTTATGGATCTACTGCATCTTTATACAGCCATTTGATCAAAAGCGTAATGATAAAGGCGATCTCGAAAATGCACAACAGAGCTTGGCAATCGTATCAGAGCCTGATTTAAGCGTCATAATCGCATCAAAGCGTAATAATGCTTACCAAAGCTTATCAAAGCGTGATTTTAAGCGTAACAAAGCCTTGTCGAAGCGGGATCATAGCGTGAGGAACCGTAAAAAGTCGGGAAATCAGAGCATTTCAGAGCTTATCAGAGCGTAACATTACTTAGGAGATCGTGATATTTTGGGAAAAGTAAACAAAAACGACGGCGCTTTGCCCGCCGATTTAAAGCGTGGCATTCGCCGTTGGTGAACGTAGCTTTAAAAATGTTTGGCGCTCTTGCCGAATATCCCGCTTTACTCCGAGCTTTTCTACGACCTATTACGACCCCGACGCTTTAATCAAGCTTTGGTGCCGCTTTACAAGCCGCTTTAAAGCGCCATCAAAGCGCCGTTGGTGTGAACGTAGCTTAATTCAAGTTAGTGAATCATGCTTGATAACTTCTCCATATGATGACAGAATTAGAATTGTATTGTAAATATTTTATTTTTTTTCTCTAAAATAACAGTAACTTATATTATAATCAGACATGCAGATAAAAAATAACAGAATAATGAACTGAACTTTCAAGTTTACAATTGTTACCTTCATCATCAAAACCATACTATTGCATTGAACATATTCAATTTAATCCTTTAAATACAGACTGTTTTAACTATATTGGTTACATATGATTTTGCTTACACATAATACCATCATGTTGTAGAAGAGATAATGAATATCACACGTCTAACCATCGACAACGTACAGTGACAAGATATACCGTTGTATACTTTAGGTGTACGGTGTCACTATTAACTGATTTGAAGCGAAAACTCTGATGAAGGTTTGATTTTGGTTTTCAAAAATTAATTTGAGGAGTACATAAAGGATTTCATGTTTGATTTCGTGTGTATTCGATTTGGAAGACATTTACCTTTCTAATAACGTTAACAGATTTTCGAGCAGTGTTCGATATTTTTCATTGTTAATCTACCCATGAAATTGATGGTTGGAAAATGTTTTTTTATACATTTCCTTTGATCATTTTCTCCCCTGTCGTCTAAGAGTGCCGAATATTTTTATGAGAGTATGTTTTTCTAAACTACACAATTTAAGACGGTTGAAGGTTTTATAAATACTCATGTATTTGGCATAATTTAAAAAATCAAAAATGTACGTTGTCATCTTCAATGTAAGTTGTCCCTGTAATTGAAATGTAAACAGTGCAATGATTTAATTTCAAAACGCATTAAGGGTTTTATGAGTAACAATTGATGTTCAACGAACATGTTCATGTATCCCTGGTACAGATAAACAGGTAAGAGATTTTTTTACCTCTTGTTGAATGCTATTTTATTTTATGAAAGTGTTGATATGGTGATTAAAATCTGACCATGGGGTGTTATCTTCTTCCAACCTCTTTGACCATTCGGCGTCGGTACTACGTTACGTAATGTTGCACTGTTATAAAGGACCTTATACACCCTCCATTGGGATCTCCATCTCCCCATGGGAAAAAATTAATTCATCTGATTTTTCAAAATGAGTATTCTGCTTCAATTATTACATTTATATGCATACTAGTATCTTGTTGACCTATATTCAGCACTGTATTGATGTATAGGCCACTTATAAGGGTCATAATTCAATCATGATGTGTAGAGGCATAGATTCCAAACCAGGAAGTATTTTTTTGTCTGTCAAAATCCATTTACATCCTACGCATCCCTGCATCTTATCCAAATATGTTACTACATAATGAAATATAATAGTATAATCCTTGGTTTTACAAACTTGTATGATATTTTATAAGTGTAAAAATTGTTTTTGGAGCATTTTTCTATAGCCATTTTGTAGGAAAAAAATGATGAAAAAATGTACAATCTTTTAATTTTAAGTATGATTGCAAACTTCATATTTGCACATTTGATGAGATAAACCATTTGTGTCGTATTGTGAAATTATTAAGTTTGCAATCGATTCAGGTCATAGTGTATTTTTGGTATTTTTGTGATAATCAATGGAAACCAATGGCCT